ACCACCTGCTACTCATGGCCAGGTGGCTCTGACTGGATAGGCTGTGGCTGAATACCTCAGAGACCAAGCCAGCCACCTCGGCTGGCTCAAGGGTGTCTGCCTTATTGGGCAGAATTCCTTCTGCTGTGGCCACTGACATGGGTACTATGTGGGGAAAGAATTGCCATTACCAAGAAGGGATCTGTCACCTCTGTACAGGCTGTGTGCCTGCTGATGGCTCGACTGCCCTTCCCCTGCTACTTCCTTTGTTCATTTGGATGCCACCGCTGTGCTGCCCCCTGCTGTTGCAAGCTGGGCATCTATCTACATGTGGATCATCTGGACTCCATCTCTCACATCATGGATCCCGTCATTGTTGACAATGAATTATGATGTTGCCCGTGGGGTGCAAAATATTCTGCGTGACTACAAATCCCTCCAGACATTATTGTCATCCTGGGTATGGATTAACTTTCTAAGGAAGACTAGTTGACTGTGTCTCAAATGTGGAAAATACATTTCTTGTCTCAGCCATTCCAGGTTGCTGAATGGTCATCACAAGTCATATGGGGAAATCAGTACTCCTGAAGGAGACCATTAAAGGATTCCAGCAGAATTTGGTGGGTGAACGTGACCATCTCTCAGAACAGGCCTTCAGCGATGGAACCCATTGAGGAAGCTTTGACAAAAGCTGATATGCGGGCTGAAGAGCATTTATTATGAGGGGTACTTTTGGCAAACTAAGCACTTGTCTGTTGTACTGTCCCTCTCCTTCTCCTAATCCAAACAGCTTCAGTTTTCTGTGTAAGCCACATGAGAGCCTTGATTGAAGACATGTTCTATCTAAAAAGAATTTAAGGTTTCCAGTAAAATATACACCCCTCAGAAAAAAAAATAATGGTATATTGAAGACCCGAATGATAAGACTCTATTTTATCTGTTATAACTCCATCTATTTTATCTATTATAAAGTAGATAAAAATAGATTTTATCTGTTTTTCATCTCCATCAAATTTTGCTTCATGTATTTTGAAGCTCTGTTGTTTGATGCACATACAATTAGGATTGTCTTCTTGGTGGATAGAGAATTTTATCATCATATAATGTCCCTTTTTGTCCATAGTCAATTTTCTTTGTGTATAAGTCTACTTTATGTAATATTAATAGTTATTTCTGCTTTTTAAAAATAAATGTTTGCATAATATGTTTTTTCTATCCTTTTACCTTCAACCTATCTATGTTGAAAACTATGCCTGAACTAAGTTTTCTATAGACAGCATAACCTGGGTCATGTTTTTGTTCACTCTTCAACCTCTGTCACATAATTGGTATGTGTAGGTCATTTATATGTAATTATTCATATTTAAGGATTAAGTCTTTCATTTTATTTATTATTTTTGTGTGTGTGTTTCCTCTGTTTCTCATTTTTCACTTTTGTCTTGCCTTCCCATGGTTTATTTGAGCATATTTTGGTGTTTAATTTTGATTTATTTATACTGTTTTTGAGTGCATTGCTTTGTCTAATTTTCTTAATAGTTCTATACATTTCCTTATACATATATGTAACTGATCACAGCCTGTTGTGATGTAACTTACCACAGCCTACTGGTGGTTTGCTGCTTCAAGTTAAGTGTACCAACCTTACTTCTACTTAGGTCTCTTTACACTCACCATTTAAAATACATAATCATCTGAAGTATTTCCTTTGCATACATTATATGCTGTCTTAGATGGTGCTAAACTTCTGCTTCAGTTCTAAAACATAACTAAAGAAATTCATGATGTTGAGGATTATCTATTATGCTTCCTTTTATATTTATGCATTCCATTGCTCTTTTTTCTGGAAGTTCAAGCTTTCTTTGTTCTTTATATGGAAAACTTTCATGAACCATTCTCTAAGGGTAGGTCTCCCAGTAAAAAATTCACGCAGTTTTCCTTCTCCTTCAACCCTGGAGGATATTTTCACCAGATATATAATTCATGGCTGGCAGTTATTTTCTTTCAGCACTTGAAAAATGTGGTGCCCGTCCTCTGCTTTCTATAGTTTCAGATGAGAAACTGCAGTCCTTTGAATTGGTGCTCTTTTATAGGTAGCGTGTTATTTCTCTTCAGCTTTTTAAGGATTTTTCTGTTTTTAGTTTCAGAAATTTAAATACAATGTGTCTTAGTGTGGATTTCTTTGGTTTTATCCTATTTGGGATTTGCTTAGCTTCTTGAATTGTAGTTTCTCTATCTTTAACAAAATTTGAGGGTTTTGTTTTCAACCATCACTTAATAAATGCTTTTGAAGCCCCACACTCTTTCCCCTCTTTTTTCTGAAAATCTAGTGGTATGAATGTTATTAGCTCTTCTTCATTATTCTGGAGATTTCTGAGGATTTATTGGTACTGACATCAGTTGGTTGTTTTTCTCATTAGAATGTGATATTTCTGGTTCTTGGTATAATGAGTGATTTTTAAATTATATCCTAGACCACTCGGTTATTATGTTAGAAGACTCTTTATTTCCCTTTACATCTGTTTATTCAGCAGTCACTGTGTTTAGGTGTAGCATGTTTGCTCTGGCTTACTTCTGTGGGCTTTAGTTCCAGTGACAGTTGCATTTCCTGAGACATCTTGTGCTGCTGGGGCTACCCCTCAATTCCTGTTTGGTGCTGTCTACAAAGGTGGAAGCCATGTCCCTGGGCTGCCTACTGTTGAAGGGTGACCTTCTGGGATGGGGATGGGGAGCTGACCACAAACTAAAAATACAGGAAAAATAAGCCCTTAGCCTAGTAAGCACTCAACAGATGTTGCTTTTTGATTATCATTACTATCATCATTTTCCTGGCCACTCTCATCCTATGGACTTTACAATTATGGGATTACTTGCTGAATTCTGAACAAGAAAGGAGTCTGGAGCACGCACCATCCTTTCTGTGGTTTCCTTTAATACACTTCCTGCTGTCTCCACCAGGAGATGTATTTAGCAACCCACCCAGCTAGAGTAAAACACATCCTACACTGGGCATGAACTTTTATAGCTTTTAGCACAGGGCTTGGTAGTCATTTTCTAGGCATTCGGCACCATCCCGTGAACCTCCTTCAAGGCACAGAATTTGGTCTGGTTTTGAAAGTTATGTCCCAGATCTATCAAAATGCCTGGCACATGGTACTTAGGAGCTTACTAAATATCTACTGAAATAAAAGGCTCCAGTGAAGAAGCCATAGGTGAGAGCAGCTGGGTGGGTCAGGGCATGGGGGTCCCCATCATGGCTGAGTCTGAGAAAGTCTTCATGAGAGGGCATTCATGGTGTGGATAATGTGACCCAGGCACCATCAGTCAGAATAACCTCCTAGGCTTTGACTTGAGAGATAGTGACTCCAGATGGCAGGTCTAGCAGAGAGAGAGCAGTGGCAGTGGTGGCAGATGGAGACTGATGCAGCTCCTGGGGTAGCTGTGGCAGTGAGCTCTGGTCCATCTCTTGTCGATAGTGCCAGTGTGGAAAGCCACAGCACCTGGCACTCTGCAGTAGGACTGCAGTGGGACCCCCCAGGAAGCCTTGCAGAGAGATTGGGGGCCTCGTTCCCGGTGAGAGGTCCCAAGCCATTTATCCTGTCCATTGGTGATGCTGTGAGCCATCCCAATGTCCTTTATCATAAATTCCTTCCTACTTGAATCAACCATAGTTGGTTTTCTTACTTACAACTGAAGTTGGACTGATAACAATGGAACTGAGATGAGGGGGAAGTTGAAGGAGGCTTTTGGAGAATTCAAAGTCCTGTATTTCTACTGATGGTCCCTTCATAAAGATCATTTTTGCATATTAAGGAGAGTACATTCCAGTAAATTTATATTTATCTAAAAATCCACTCCTTTCTATATTAATGAAGTCTTTAAGAGATTTTCTAATTTTTGTTTAATATGATTTGAGAGATTGCTAAAAATTTATCATTAATTTCTCTTGACACACAACATGTATACTTTTATCTATTCTTTTTTATACATGAAGAGTTGCAGGCCAGGCATGGGTTCATGTTTGTTATCCCAGCACTTTGGGAGGTCAAGGCAGGCAGATCACTTGAGGAGTTGCAGACCAGCCTGGCCAACATGATGAAACCCCATCTCTGCCAAAAAAAGAAAAAAAATACAAAAATTAGCTGGGCGTGGTAGTGTACACCTGTAGTCCCACATACTCAGGAGGCTGAGGCAGGAGAATTGCTTGAACTCACGAGATGGAGGTTGCAGTGAGTTGAGACAGCCCCACTGCACTTCAGCCTGGGCAATGGAGCCCTGAGACCCTGTCTCAAAAAAAAAAAAAAAAAAAAAAAAGAGTTGTAGATGGTGTTATGATTGATGTTATGTGTAGGAGAAAGAAAGGGCCACAATATATTCCTTTTTATTGATTCTGATTTTGACTCATATATGATGGTACAGCAGATGTATGTCTGGTTATTCCCATCACAGGTAAAGCAGAACATTTAAAGTCCCTCATTCATATAAGACGTGATAATAGGTGGGTTCATGCACTTGAAAGTAGGTATATATTTCATCAGAACTTTTCAAGTAATGTTAGATATGTCTACATGTACATTGTTAGATTGCTAATGATACCACACTCACGTTTGCCAAATGTTGGGTATCATGAATAAATCCTGGTTTGAAACCAATATGATGCCACAGTGTATTTAGGCTGCATGTTTAAGCTCTGTTGACAGATGAGTGGGCAGTAACTGAGTTAGCGTCTCACATAGAAACTCAAACAAATAAAATTGCATTAAGATCTCTGTCATCAAGACAGGAAATCCACAGTCCTGGCTTCTAGCAGTCCTTAGACTGCCCGGATAGAGAATTCTTGGCACATCCTGGGATACGTTCCTTGGAATCATTGGGGTTAAATTGTTTTCTCAATCTAATTTTAACTTATCTTTTATCTCACAAGTACTTTCTCTTCTTTGTTTGGAAGCAGAAAATAAATACTTGGTGTGAGTTCTTTTTTGAGATTCAAAAAGGTGTCCTTGGTATCTCTCTTTTTTCCATAGATTGGAAGTTCCACAAACACCCTGAGTGCCCTGAAAACTGCTTTTGCGGATAAAGAAACACAGGCAATCTACCTTCTGACTGATGGGAGACCTGATCAGGTACTTATCAGAGCTGGGAACAAAGAGCCTCACTGATGCTCTGAGAACAAATGCTGGAAATAGGTTTGGGCGACCTTTTCAGCTGCTACCAAAATACTGTGGAGATACACTTCACTGGTTTAGGGACTCAGAGCTGAGATGAGCAAATACACTGAGAGATTCCTTTGTCTCTGGAAACTCTGAGGAGAATTTATGAGACAGCGAATGTTGCCTGGTGAGTGTGACACACACCCCTGGCCTGGAGACCAGCCCCATGAAAGGAGGCATCTGTCTTCCACTGAAGACTGGTTTATGTTTTATTACAAATGAAGAGCGAGGAGATTCTTTTTGATCTTTTTCTTCCTCTGGAGACTGAATCTAAACATGTCACTGCATAATATCCTTGGCTTTACTTAGAAATCATTTAAACAAAAACTTGTCTTTCTAGAGAAATCTCCTTTGTTTTGTTTAGCCTGACTGGAAAATATTTGAAAAGTTTTAGAGGAGTCTGTTCATCTTCTTTTGAGCTTTGTGAATGAAAGACGAGTACTCCGGGCATTAAATGAATTGAAGGATTTTCAGGCCAGCATAGTGTAAATTAGCAGCTAGAGTGAATTAGTGTCAACTCGTGTCCTTCCTTGTGAGATGTTTACCTATGCAGACTGCTGGGCAAATATTCTAAAATACCCTGTGGCAAAAAGTTCAGGGCTTGAAGTTCAGAGAGTAAGCATCTGGATTTTACTACAGCTTTAGATTTATGGCAGAAAGGGAGTGTGTAAAGTGAAAATTTATTTTAAATTATTTTTTCCTATCAACTTTAGTGTGTTTTCTCTTTGGAAGTAGATCATCATGTCTGTCTTCTATTCCATGTGTGGTGCCAGGGTCTGAGGCTATGAAGATGAATAATAGCTCATCCTGCCTTTGGGATGCTTGTTCTTTGGGGAATGTGCTAGATGTATACAGTTTAATACAATACAGGGAACAGGGTTGACTGTGCTATGTCTAGGAACGCAGAGTGATGGATTTTGCTGTAGAGATGGAGAGAAGGCCAGGCAGGTTCTCGCAAGGCAAGGACATTTGAGCTGTGTCTGGAAAGAGAAGAAGGAATCTTCGCAACAGAGGACACTGTTGCTGTTCTAGGCAGAAGGGACACAGAGGTGTGGAAGTATGTGGTGGAGGGGGGCGCTCAGAGAAATAAGCTGAGGGCAGGGACAACGGAAGATCAGGGTGGAGGCAAAAACGTTGGGTTGGGGGAGACTGAAAGTTTTTGAATGCCACATTAGAAGGGTGGTGTCAGCACAGAGAGGAACTCTCGGAGGAGTGGGCCATCCTACCCATCTGATCTCAGAAACATGGCTCAGTTGTGCCAGGGAAAGGCTGGCACTGCTGCAGCCTGCCGCCAGGTCCTTGATGAAAGCTGGGAATGACCAGCCTCAGGCAGGAGCAAGAATGGGAGGAGGAGACTGCCTCCAGACGTGAGCCGCCAGAATTAGCATCAACAGGACCCGGTGGCCAGTTTGGAAGCAGTGAGCAGGCGGTGAGGAATAGATAGGAACACGGCAGAAAGGAGTCAGGATGACTGACTTCTGGTTTACAATGATTATGATATTAACTGATTAAAATACAAATTTCAAGCAGAGGCAAGTAGGCTTGGGGGCGGCTCATGGAGGAAGCTGTTTGTGAGCCTGTAGTGTATGGATGTCCAGAAGTCCCTAGAAATATGGAGCTAAAGTTTGGGACCATGTAAGCTGAAGATTCCAACTTGAGAGACATCTAGGCAGCTCAAGGTGTATTTTTCTTTTTAATATACTCTTGCTGATTTTTAAGATTGTTTACATGATGGTCAAGTTGGAAAACATAGATAAATATTAAAAAGGAGAAAATTTGGTTGGGTTGGGTGGCTCATTCCTGTAATCTCAGCTCTTTGGTAGGCTGAGGCAGGAGGACTGCTTGAACCTAGGAGTTTGAGACCAGCCAGGGCAACATATTGAGACCTTGCTACAAAAAATTTTTAAATTAGCTGGGCATGGTGGTATGCACCTGTAGTCCTAGCTACTCAGAAGGCTGAAGTAGGAGGATCGTTTGAACCCTGGAGTTTGAGGATGCAGTGAGCTATGATAGCGCTACTGCACTCTAGCCTGGGCAACAGAGTGAGTCCCTGTCTCTAAGAAAAAAAAAAAAGGAGAAAATTTAAATTACTCATAATTGAATTTTGTGTTCTTTTTTTCCCCATCTAACATCACATGCATTTTTCCAAGTCATGAAAAATTCTTCAGGAGCATCCTTCTCAAAGACTGCATCATATTCTGTTATATGAATTTAGTAAAACTTCAGCCTTAAAGCCATTTTTGTTTAATTTTCGAATAGTAATGCATTCACATAGTACAAACTACAAAGGTAGAAAAGCATAGATAGAGAAAATTCTCCCTCTTGCCTCTTTCACCAGCCAGGAGGCAACTAATGTAACTAGATTTTTTGTATCTACTTTCAGAGATGGTTTGTGTTATGCAGCAAAAGATGTATTCATATATATTTCCTCTTTTTTACAAAAGCAAATGTTCGCATATTATACACATGACTGTACACCTCTATTCATCAAACAATATACCTTGGAGATGGCTTCGTGTCATTTCATAAAGAACCTCCTCATTCTCTTCTAGGTCCCATCGCATGGCTATCCCATTACTTATTTAGCTAGTCCCCTACAGATGCACATTCAAATTGTTTTCGATCTTTCTGTTTTACACAGTCTTGCCAAAGGAACTCTGTGCATATATTGTTTTGCATGTGAGCGAGTATATCTGTAGTGTAAATTCTGAGAAGTGGACTCAGCTGCAAGGTCCATGTTTGGATCAGTACTGCTAAATAGCAACCCCCAAAGAGGTTGTCATACGCAACACCCCTGTAAGTAGTGTATTGAGAAGAATTCTTGATCTACAGTCCAGTATGGACTTCCGGGGCTCTGGAATCTCCCAATAACATATACAAAACACACTCAAACTTTTTTTTCTGAAGAGAAGATCAATATATTTCGCCAGATTCTGAGGGTCCACTCAAAGATGGAGAACCAAGGATATGGATACTAGCTGGAGTCAGGCCTGGCGCTGTGGCTCATGTCTGGAATCCTAGCACTTCGGGAGGCTGAGGCAGGAGGGTCACTTGAGGTCAGGAGTTCTAAACCAGCCTGACCAACATGGTGAAACCCAGTCTCTACTACAAATACAAAAAAAATTAGCCAGGCGTGGTGGTGGGTGCCTGTAATCCCAGCTATTCAGGAGGCTGAGGAGGCAGGAGAATTGCTGGAACCTGGGTGGTAAAGGTTGCAGTGAGCTGAGATCATGCCAATGTACTCCAGCCTGGATGATAGAGTGAGAGTCCATCTCAAAAAAAAAAAAATAGCTGGAGTCAGAAATGTACAAATTACCCCAAACATAATTTAGAAGCTTTTAAGGACTTCCAAATTCAACACTGCCTTTTTGACACATGCAGTCTATTTATTTTTGCATTATTCCTTGGATTCTCTCAAAAAGGCAAATTGATATTTGATATTCGTGTTCTATGTAGAAGATATTGAGATGTACCACTCAATTTCTATTTGCTTTTGAATTTTCACTGGCTTTATAGGAACTGAATGTGTAAGGGAAGTGTTATTATTTCAAATATTCAGCAGAATTTTCTCCTTGAAAGAATAGACACAGATGTTATATGGACACTAGCTTCCTGCTTGCTTATTAAATGTCTGGGGAAGCATTATAAAGGGATACAGTCTTTAAAATTAAGCAGGTCAAAGGGGTTCTAGAACTATTAGTCTTTATTAAAATGGAATCATGTACACATTGGGTAAGTGTCCTTTGGTGGGCGTCCATAGTGTAAACTGGCAGGGTCTTTGCTGGGAACAGCCTCATGCAGCCTTAACTGTGGTTATTTTGGGAATTCTTTGAAGTTAGGGGCTTGTCTGGCTGGAATCAAGAAAATGGAAATGATGAAGGCATTTGCACCATCCTAAATAAAACTAATGGCTAAAGTCTTAGCATGAGGTATGTTAGGGCAAGAGATGGGGAAGGTGCAGGGTGATCAACCTGTGCATGCACAAACAGACCTCCTTCTGGCATAGAGGAGACAGAATCTCTGCCCTTCTTGCCACTCTAGCTGATGTGTGTGGATGAAGGTAGCCCTGGCTGCACAGCTGTTTAGACTCGGAGCAAAGGGAACTGGGGAAAGTGGCTCGGGGTGCTGCTTGGCATTATCCTAGGCTGACAGCAGTGCCTGGCAAATAAAAGGTACTCAACAAATATTTGTGGAATACCTTCCAAGGAACATCATCTCATTTACTCCTCACGGCAACCCTATAAGGAGGGTGTATTAGTTCTGAGGCACAGTTGAGGAAACTCACATTAGACAGGACATGCCCAAGGCCATTCAGATGGGCCGTGCTGGATGAGCTTCAAGCCCAGGTCTCTAACTCTGGAGCTATTACCATCATTCCTTACAGCTGAAGACAGTGTGAGCGGGAGAGAGACTGTCATGTGCATCATTGGAAGCCCCATCCCTGCACCCAGTCTTAGGTGATCCCATCATGCTAAACTGCATGATGTTCAAGTGCTCCAGGATGGTGCTGGGGAGCTGGGCAGAGAGTGGGGACAGAGGGAGCTCCATCCCTGCAATGGGAAATACCCATTCCTGTCCTGCTGCCCGCTCCCCGCTGATGAGTCCTTTTGCTGATGTATATCCTCAGAGCTTTGAAGAGCAGAATCAGATAGTTGAAACAAACCTCTCACCACCGCAGACTGACTAACCGTGCCCCTTTCCAGCACTCATTTCAACAGCTCTTCTGGGCTCTGAAGTGGTGAGCCCACTCCCTGACTACCTCCTATGTACAGTGAAGAAGGTTTTCTCAGCTCTGGGACTCCTTAATCCATTCCTCACAGAGCCTCCCTGCTTTCTTCAGTTTCTCAGATGAATGCCCAGCACATGGGAAGACCTTAAATAAAACATCTCTTCCTTCATTCTCTGTGGGAAATGAGTTGACCATAGCATGTTGGAAGCTGGAAATTGCTCTTTTTTAGCCCAGCACTTTACATGCATGGACTCTAAGTTCAGGTGCACCTAAAGTTGAGTGACTTGGTTAGCCAAATCTTTCTCGTAGCTTCTTTGTCCCACTCAACTGAGAGACCTGAGCGCCAAGGACCATGTCTTATGGATCATTGAACTCTCACTATCTGGCAGTCTTTGTTGTTGTTATTGTTTATTGAATTTAATCGACATGTTTATAAGAAGCCATTCACCACTGTATAAAGAATTACTATATGAGTATCTATAGTAAATACTGAGGATTTTCATCTTCTTTTCTATCTCTTCTCTCCATCTCCCTCCCGCCTCTCCCCAAAACTTACCGTTTCAGCCACCTGAAATGGTTATAGACCAGGTCAAAGTTTTTCAGGAAATTCCTATTTATACCATCTCCTTCAATTACAATGATGAGATTGCAAACAGATTTTTGAAAGAGATTGCTGCTTTGACTGGAGGAGAGTTCCATTTTTATAATTTTGGTTGCAAGGATTCCACTCCTCCAGAGGCTGTTCAGGTAAGAACTTGGTGGGCTAAGAAGGGAATGTTCATTTATTTGAGCAGTACAGGTTGGAGGTCCCTGGATAATACCTTCGTTGGGAAAATAACAACCAGTCAAACAAATGAATCACTTATCAATGAGTGTACCAGTGTTTCTCAGAACATAGTCCAAGGACCACCTGAGCTAGGGCACCTGAGCATATTCCTGCATCCCATTTCAGAGCTACTAAAGCAAGGTGTAAGCATAGAGGTCCAGGAATTATGAATCAATGCATATATTTTGTTTTTCTTCTAATTTTTTTATTATGGAAAGTTTCAAACACACACAAAAGTAGAGGCATATATGGACCTCATGTACCTATAATTTAAATTCAACAATTATCAACATTTTGCCAAACATAAGAAATCTGTGTTTTTAACAAGATACTCAGAGGTCTATATATGAAGTTTGTTAATCACTGCTATGCACAGATATTTGTAGAAAACCAAACAATGTCAGATGTAGGTGGTTAGTTGCTTGCTCACCTCTCAGACTATATAACCATTTGACTACTTGATAAAGCAATTTATTCTAATAGGCTAATGGGAGAAAGCAAATATAATTCTGTTCTCCCATCCTCCAAACTTGGCCTGTGCATATGCATTTCATGGATGCCCTTCTATGGTATGTATTTTTTGTTGTATGTTCTGAGGAGTGACTTTAAATTCAGATTCAAGGGGTAGCAGGACAAGTCAGAATACTGATCAGTGCTTCATGTGAGTGAACTACCTGAGACTGGAAGGACCAGTGCTTTAAGCCACAGAGGGCTGGGAAGAGTGCTTCCATTAGTGAGGATTGAAAACTTCATAATCATTTGGGTTGGGCATTGGATAAAGTAGACAGGAGGGTCTTGCCTCAGTAGTGGGAGCAACCAAACACTCCAGTTCTGTTCCACCTAGAAAATCTTAAATGCAAGGCCCAAAAGGATCAAACTGTTTCCAACTAACTTAACTGCATCCCAGAACAAACCCCAAGAATAATTAAAAGAAAACAAAAATATTCACCACCTAACAAAGTAAAATCAACTATGCCTGGCATACAATCGAATTGTACCAGGCATGCAAAAAAGAAGGAAAATACAGATCCATAATGAGGAGGAAAAGCAAACTGAAGACTTAAAATATACCCAGAACTCAATGTTACTATTAGAGCATTAAAACAGCCATTGTAACTGTGGGGGAAACATGTAAGACACAAATTAAACCTCTAGCCATGAAAAGTACATGGAATGGGAGGAGCAGCAGATCAGACACTGTATAACACAAGTGAATTGAAAGGCAGCAATAGAAACTATCCAAAATGTAACTATCCAAAATGTAACACAGAAGAAAGAGAACTCAAATTAAAAAAAAATAAAAAAAAAAAAAACAAAACCAAAAAACAGAGCATGAGTGAGTCATGGAAAAATCCAAACAGCCTAATAAACACATAACTGAAGCAGCAGTGGCCAAAAATTTTCCAAACTGGATTACAACTGTAAACCCACAGATCCAAAAGAACCTCAATGAATCCCAAGCACAAGAAACATGAAGAAAACCAGACCAAGGCAGAGTCAAACTTTCCAGAAGCAGTGACAAAGAGAACATCTTAAAATAACAGAAAGAAGACAATTGTGCACAGAGGAACAATGACAAAGATGACAGCAGGTTTCTCATCAGAAATAATGCAAGTGAGGAGACAGTGGAAAAACACGTTTAAAATACTATGCAGCCATAAAAAGAAATGAGATCATGTCCTTTGCAGGGACATGGATGAAGCTGGAAGCCATCATCCTCAGCAAACTAACACAGGAACAGAAAACCAAACACCACATGTTCTCACTTACAAATGGGAGCTGAACAATGAGAACACATTAACACAGGCAGGAGAACAACATACACTGGGGCCTGTTGGGGGCAGGGAGCAAAGCGAGGGAGGGCATCAAGACAAATAGCTAATGCTTGTGGGGCTTAATACCTAGGTGAGAGGTTGATAGGTACAGCAAACCACCATGGCATACCTAGGAATATAACTAAAATACCTAGGAATATAACTAACAAAGGATGTTAAGGACTTCTTCAAGGAGAACTACAAACCACTGCTCAAGGAAATAAGAGAGGACACAAACAGATGTAAAAACATTCCATGCTCATGGTTAGGAAGAATCAATATCATGAAAATGGCCATACTGCCCAAAGTAGTATGATAGATAGATTCAATACTATCCCCATCAAGCTACCAATGACCTTCTTCACAGAACTGGAAAAAAACACTTTAAACTTCATATGGAATAACAAGATTGCCATATAGCCAAGACAGTCCTAAGCAAAAAGAACAAAGCTGGAGGCATCACTCTACCTGACTTCAAACGATACTACAAGGCTACAGTAATCAAAACAGCATGGTACTGGTACCAAAACAGAGACATAGACCAATTGAACAGAACAGAGGCCTTAGAAGCAATACCACACATCTACAACCATCGATTTTTGACAAACCTGACAAAAATAAGCAATGGGGAAAGGACTCCATGTTTAATAAATGGTGTTGGGAAAACTGGCCAGCAATGTGCAGAAAGCAGAAACTGGACCCTTTCCTGTCACCTTACACTAAAATTAACTCCAGATGGATTAAAGATTTAAACATAAAACCTAACACCATAAAAACACTAGAAGAGCACTTTGGGAGGCTGAGGTGGGTGGATCACGAGGTCAAGGGATCGAGACCATCCTGGTCAACATGGTAAAACCCTGTCTCTACTAAAAATACAAAAAATTAGCTGAGCATGGTGGCGTGTGCCTGTAGTTCCAGCTACTCAGGAGGCTGAGGGAGGAGAATTGCCTGAACCCAGGAGGCGGAGGTTGCGGTGAGCCAATATCGTGCCATTGCACTCCAGCCTGGGTAACAAGAGCGAAACTCCATCTCAAAAAAAAAAAAAAAAAAAAAAAAAAAAACAACAACAACACTAGAAGAAAACGTAGGCAAAACCATCCAGGACATAGGCATAGGCAAGGACTTCATGACTAAAATACAAAAAGCAATGGCAACAAAAGCCAAGAAAGACAAATGGGATCTAATTAAAATTCAGAGTTTCTGTACAGCAAAAGAAACCATCATTAGAGTGAACCGATCATTAGAGCGAACTGGTCATCAGAGAAATGCAAATCAAAACCACATTGAGATACCATCTCATGCCAATTAGAATGGCGATCATTAAAAAATTGAAGACAACAGATGCTGGAGAGGATGTGGAGAAATAGGACCACTTTTACAATGTTGGTAGGAGTGTAAATTAGTTCAACCATTGTGGAAACAGTGTGGTGATTCCTCAAGGATCTAGAAATAGAAATACCATTATTGGGTAAATACCCAAAGGATTATAAATCATTCTATTATGAAGACACATGCACACATATGTTCATTGCAGCACTGTTTATGATAGCAAAGACCTGGAACCAACCCAAATGCCCATGAGTGATAGACTGGATAAAGAAAATGTGGCACATATACACCATGGAATACTATGCAGCCATAAGAAAGATGAGTTCATGTCTTTTGCAGGTACATGGTTGAAACTGGAAACCATCATTCTCAGTAAACTAACACAGGAACAGAAAACCAAACACTGCATGTTCTCACTCATAAGTGGTTGTTGAACAATGAGAACACATGGGCACAGGGAGGGGAACATCACACACTGGGACTTGTTGGGGGGTGGGAGAGCTAGGGGAGGGACAGCAGAGGGTGGGAGGATTGGGGAGGGATAACATTAGGAGAAATACTAATGGGGGGGATGGATGCAGTAAACAACGATGGCATGTGTATATCTATGTAACAGTCCTGCATGATCTGCACATGTACGCCAGAACTTAAAGTATAATAATAAAAAAGAACATCAATAAAACACATACAGCTAAAGTCATACTTAATAGTGAAATACTGAATGATTTCCCCTTAAGATTAGAAGAGAATCTCTGTATCCTTCTAATAGAAGTATATCTATTCTCACCACTCTGATTCAGAATACTACTGGAAGTTCTAACCATGGCAACAAGGCAAGAAAAGAAATAAAAAGCATACAGATTGGGAAGGAAGAAATATAACTTTTTATTTGTAGGTAACATATTATCTACATTAAAAAAAAAACAGGAGATCTACAAAAAAACCTAGCACATGAAGAGGGTCAACATAGTAAACTTCAACATCCCTTCACATTAATAACTTTCTATAAACTAGGTATCGATGAAACATATATTAAAATAATAAGAGCTATTTGTGACAAACCCATAGCCAGTATCATACTGAATGGGCAAAAGCTGGAAGCATTCCCTTTGAAAACAGGCACTAGACAAGGATGCCCTCTCTCACCACTCCTATTCAACATAGTATTGGATGTTCTGGCCAAGGCAATCAGGCAAGAGAAAGAAATAAAGGATATACAGATAGGAAGAGAGGAAGTAAAATTGTCTCTGTTTTTAGATGACATGATTGTATATTTAGAAAACCCCATCGTCTCAGCCCAAACACTCCTTAAGCTAATAAGCAACTTCAGCCAAGTTGAGATTTTGTATCCTGAGATACGACGTGCAAAAATCACAAGCATTTCTATACCCAACAATAGACAAGCAGAGAGCCAAATCATGAATGAACTCTCATTCATAATTGTAACAAAGAGAATAAAATATCTAGGAATATGGCTATGAAGGGACGTGAAGGACCTTAACATCTCAAACCGCGCAATCCAATCATTCTACTTCCAGATATTTATTCAGGAGGAATGAAGCCCGATGTACATGCAAAGGCTTGTATGCAAATGTTTGTAGCTGTATTTATAATAGCCCAAACCTGAAAACAACATTAACAGGTGCATGCATACTTACTGGTACTTGTTAGTAGCGTATAGTACTTATTAGTAATTTACAGTAGAATCCAGCTCAGCAATAAGAAACTAATGAACTATTGATTCATGCTACAACATGGGTGGATCTTAAAATAATCATACAAGTGAAGAAAGTCAGAAAAAAGGAATTTCTCTATGATTTCATTTATATAAAATTATTGAAAACTGAATCTAATGTGTAGTGACAGAAAGCCATTGAATAGTTCCTTGAGAATTGAGGGAGAGGGCTTAAGAAGGGTGGGCAGATTACAGTGGGGCACAAGGGAATTTGGGGTGACCAATATGTTCATTATCTTGATTGTAAGAATGATTTCACAGGTGTGAATGTCAAACTTTTCAAATGGTACGTTTTACACATGTTCAGTTTATTGTATGTGAATTATGTGTAAATAAAGCTGGCTAAAAATGGGATAAGAACAACATAACACTCTTTAGATTCTTCTTTTCCTGATACAGTTGGCTTTCTGTTAGAAGTGTTTGAAATTTGCTAGCCGTGTGCTGTAGTCCCAGGTACTTGGGAGGCCAAGAGAAGAGGATGACTTCAGTCCAGGAGCTCAAGACAAGCGTGGGCAACATAGTGAGCCTCTTGTCTCTAAGAAGAAAAGGAAAGAAACTTGTTTGGAATTTGATTTCTTTTTCTCTCATCTTACAGCACACTTACTTCTCATTTTGGCAGAATGAAGATCTGACCCTTTTAGATGAGGAAATGGAACAGGGTTACCGTGACCTGGAGAAGATACAAGAACTTTATTCCGAGTCCTTGATCATGGACTGGTGGTACAATGCAGGAAAGGATTGGGACAGCAAGTGAGCACCCCGGCCCGCCTGTCTCCCTGCACTGGGGCCTCTCCAGAGCTGGGCCTGCCCCCTGGGCCCTTGTCCTTTCGGAAATGCCTCGTGAATTTCTTTTAGTGAAAAGAGTCACATAGTATGACTAAGTTAGGATTTTTTTAAGCAAAGAGAATTAATAATTTAATAATTTTAATCATGGGCTTGAGGAGGCCACATATTTCCCTTTATGTTCTTCACACAGTGTGGACAGGTCCCCGGACCCAAGCAGTGACAACACAGATAGGAGGGCTGTGTGGGGAAGGAACTCTGACTCAGGGATCAGGAGGCCAAGGCCTGGACTTCCCTCTGTGTGACTGTGGTGGGACCTGGACCTCCCTCCACACCTCTCCACTGCGTGGGTCTCTGTTACTTCAGCTTTAAAATAGTGGCCATGGCGGAGGGGTTTGGGATAGAGATTTCTCATGTCTGCTCCCATCCTATATTCTAATATGTTTCTAATTAGTGCTGTGCAAATCTTATTAAAATGATTTAATGTTTTCTAGATATTCAAGTGTCACAGCCTACCTTGCCTGGAGGGTGTCTTTTTTATTTGAAAGAATGATAGAAAATTGGGGAAAAATGAAAATACATTTATTAATCAGAATTTCTTATTCAACAAAATTTACTACCTTCCTATTAGCAAATTAAGCATTTGTATGGGCTTAGGGTAAGGCATGACTGTGGAATAAGTAAAAAGAGGTAAATGTTATATTGGCCATCTTATAATGAGATTTTATGGCATTGTTTTTTTTTGTTTTTTTTTAATTTTTTATTGGATTATAGGTTTTGGGGTACATGAGCTGAGCATGCAAGACAGTTGCGTAGGTACACACATGGCAGTGTGCTTTGCTTTTCTTCTCCCCTTCACCCACATTTGGCATTTCTCCCCAGGCTATCCCTCCCCACCTCCCCCTCCCACTGGCCCTCCCCTTTTCCCTCCAATAGACCCCAGTGTTTAGTACTCCCCTTTCTGTGTCCATGTGTTCTCATTTTTCATCACCCACCTATGAGTGAGAATATGCGGTGTTTCGTTTTCTGTTCTTGTGTCAGTTTGCTGAGGATGATGTTCTCCAGATTCATCCATGTCCCTACAAACGACACAAACTCATCATTTCTGATTGCTGCATAATATTCCATGGTGTATATGTGCCAAATTTTTCCAATCCAGTCTATTATCAATGGGCATTTGGGTTGATTCCAGGTCTTTGCTATTGTAAACAGTGCTGCAATGAACATTCGTGTACATGTGTCCTTATAGTAGAACGATTTATAGTCTTTTGGATATATACCAGTAATGGGATTGCTGGGTCAAATGGAATTTCTATTTCTAAGGCCTTGAGGAATCGCCACACTGTCTTCCACAATGGTTGAACTAATTTACACTCCCACCAACAGTGTAAAAGTGTTCCTTTTTCTCCACATCCTCTCCAGCATCTGTTGTCTCCAGATTTTTTAATGATCGCCATTCTAACTGGCGTGAGATGGTATCTCAATGTGGTTTTGATTTGCATCTCTCTGATGACCAGTGACGATGAGCATTTTTTCATATGATTGTTGGCCTCATATATGTCTTCTTTCGTAAAGTATCTGTTCATATCCTTTGCCCACTTTTGAATGGGCTTGTTTGTTTTTTTCCTGTAAATCTGCTTGAGTTCTTTGTAAATTCTGGATATCAGCCCTTTGTCAGATGGGTAGACTGCGAAAATTTTTTCCCATTCTGTTGGTTGCCGATGCACTCTAGTGACTGTTTCTTTTGCCGTGCAGAAGCTGTGGAGTTTGATTAGGTCCCATTTGTCTATTTTGGCTTTTGTTGCCAATGCTTTTGGTGTTTTGTTCATGAAGTCCTTGCCTACTCCTATGTCCTGGGTGGTTTTGCCTAGATTTCCTTCTAGGGTTTTTATGGTGCCAGGTCTTATGTTTAAGTCTTTAATCCATCTGGAGTTAATTTTAGTGTAAGGTGTCAGGAAGGGGTCCAGTTTCTGCTTTCTGCACATGGCTAGCCAGTTTTCCCAACACCATTTGTTAAACGTGGAATCCTTACCCCATTGCTTGTTTCTGTCAGGTTTATCAAAGATTGTATAGTTGTATGTATGTTGTGTTGCCTCCGGTGCCTCTGTTTTGTTCCATTGGTCTATATCTCTGTTTTGGTACCAGTACCATGCTGTTTTGATTACTGTAGCCTTGTAGTATAGTTTGAAATCTGGTAGTGTGATGCCCCCCGCTGTGTTCTTTTTGCTTAGAATTGACTTGGCTATGCAGTCTCTCTTTTGGTTCCATATGAAGTTCATGGTAGTTTTTTCCAGTTCTGTGAAGAAAGTCAATGGTAGCTTGATGGGGATAGCGTTGATTCTGTAAATTACTTTGGGCAGTATAGCCCTTTTCACGATATTAATTCTTCCTAACCATGGACATGGAATGTTTCTCCATCTGTTTGTGTCCTCTCTGATTTCGTTGAGCAGTGGTTTGTAGTTCTCCTTGAAGAGGTCCCTTACGTTCCTTGTGAGTTGTATTCCAAGGTATTTTATTCTTTTTGTAACAATTGCGAATGGCAGTTCGCTCTTGATTTGGCTTTCTTTAAGTCTGTTATTGGTGTAGACGAATGCTTGTGATTTTTGCACATTGATTTTATATCCTGAGACTTTGCTGAAGTTGTTTATCAGTTTCAGGAGTTTTTGGGCTGAGGCGATGGCGTCTTCTAGGTATACTATCATGTCATCTGCAAATAGAGACAATTTGGCTTCCACCTTTCTTATTTGAATACCCTTTATTTCTTTTTCTTGCCTGATTGCTCTGGCTAGAACTTCCAGTACTATATTGAATAGGAGTGGTGAAAGAGGGCATCCTTGTCTAGTGCCAGATTTCAAAGGGAATGCTTCCAGTTTTTGCCCATTCAGTATGATATTGGCTGTTGGTTTGTCATAAATAGCTTTTATTACTTTGAGATACGTTCCATCGATACCGAGTTTATTGAGGGTTTTTAGCATAAAGGGCTGTTGAATTTTGTCAAATGCCTTCTCTGCGTCAATTGAGATAATCATGTGGTTTTTGTTTTTGGTTCTGTTTATGTGGTGAATTACATTGATAGACTTGCGTATGTTGAACCAGCCTTGCATCCCCGGGATGAATCCTACTTGATCATGATGAATAAGTTTTTTGATTTGCTGTTGCAATCGGCTTGCCAATATTTTATTGAAGATTTTTGCATCTATGTTCATCATGGATATTGGCCTGAAGTTTTCTTTTCTCGTTGGGTCTCTGCCGGGTTTTGGTATCAGGATGATGTTGGTCTCATAAAATGATTTGGGAAGGATTCCCTCTTTTTGGATTGTTTGAAATAGTTTTAGAAGGAATGGTACCAGCTCCTCCTTGTGTGTCTGGTAGAATTCGGCTGTGAACCCGTCTGGACCTGGGCTTTTTTTGTGAGGTAGGCTCTTAATTGCTGCCTCCACTTCAGACCTTGTTATTGGTCTATTCATAGTTTCAGCTTCCTCCTGGTTTAGGCTTGGGAGGACACAGGAGTCCAGGAATTTATCCATTTCTTCCAGGTTTACTAGTTTATGTGCATAGAGTTGTTTGTAATATTCTCTGATGATGGTTTGAATTTCTGTGGAATCTGTGGTGATTTCCCCTTTATCATTTTTTATTGCATCTATTTGGTTGTTCTCTCTTTTCTTTTTAATCAATCTGGCTAGTGGTCTATTTTGTTGATCTTTTCAAAAAACCAGCTCTTGGATTTATTGATTTTTTGAAGGGTTTTTCGTGTCTCAATCTCCTTCAGCTCAGCTCTGATCTTAGTAATTTCTTGTCTTCTGCTGGGTTTTGAGTTTTTTTGATCTTGCTCCTCTAGCTCTTTCAATTTTGACGATAGGGTGTCAATTTTGGATCTCTCCATTCTCCTCATATGGGCACTTATTGCTATATACTTTCCTCTAGAGACTGCTTTAAATGTGTCCCAGAGGTTCTGGCATGTAGTGTCTTCGTTCTCGTTGGTTTCGAAGAACTTCTTTATTTCTGCCTTCATTTGGTTGTTTACCCAGTCAACATTCAAGAGCCAGTTGTTCAGTTTCCATGAAGCTGTGCGGTTCTGGGTGGGTTTCTGAATTCTGAGTTCTAACTTGATTGCACTATGGTCTGAGAGGCTGTTTGTTATGATTTCAGTTGTTTTGCATTTGTTGAGCAGTGCTTTACTTCCAATTATGTGGTCAATTTTAGAGTAGGTGTGATGTGGTGCTGAGAAGAATGTGTATTCTGTGGATTTGTGGTGGAGAGTTCTGTAAATGTCTATCAGGTTTGCTGCTCCAGGTCTGAGTTCAAGCCCTGGATATCCTTGTTGATTTTCTGTCTGGTTGATCTGTCTAGTATTGACAGTGGAGTGTTAAAGTCTCCCACTATTATTGTGTGGGAGTCTAAGTCCTTTTGTAAGTCATTAAGAACTTGCCTTATGTATCTGGGTGCTCCTGCATTGGGTCCATATATGTTTAGGATCGTTAGCTCTTCTTGTTGTATTGATCCTTTTACCATTATGTAATGGCCTTCTCTGTCTCTTTTGATCTTTGTTGCTTTAAAGTCTATTTTATCAGAGATGAGAATTGCAACTCCTGCTTTTTTTTGCTTTCCGTTAGCTTGGTAAATCTTCCTCCATCCCTTTATTTTGAGCCTTTGTGTATCCTTGCATGTGAGATGGGTTTCCTGGATACAGCACACTGATGGGTTTTAGAGTTTTATCCAATTTGCCAGTCTGTGTCTTTTGATTGGTACATTTAGTCCATTTACATTTAGGGTTAGTATTGTTATGTGTGAATTTGATACTGCCATTTTGATGCTAAGTGGCTGTTTTGCCTGTTAGTTGTTGTAGATTCTTCATTATGTTGAAGCTCTTTAGCATTCAGTGTGAGTTTGGAATGGCTGGTACTGGTTGATCCTTTCTATGTGTAGTGCCTCTTTTAGGAGCTCTTGTAAAGCAGGCCTGGTGGTGACAAAATCTCTGAGTACTTGCTTGTTCACAAAGGATTTTATTCTTCCTTCACTTCTGAAGCTCAGTTTGGCTGGATATGAAATTCTGGGTTGAAAGTTCTTTTCTTTAAGAATGTTGAATATTGGCCCCCACCCTCTTCTTGCTTGTAGTGTTTCTGCCGAGAGATCTGCTGTGAGTCTGATGGGCTTCCCTTTGTGGGTGACCCGACCTTTCTCTCTGGCTGCCCTTAGTATTCTCTCCTTTACTTCAACCCTGTTGAATCTGACGATTATGTGCCTTGGGGTTGCTCTTCTTGCAGAATATCTTTGTGGTGTTGTCTGTATTTCCTGCAATTGAGTGTTGGCCTGTCTTGCTAGGTGGGGGAAATTTTCCTGGATGATGTCCTGAAGAGTATTTTCCAGCTTGGATTCATTCTCTTCGTCCCCTTCTGGTACACCTATCAAACGTAGATTAGGTCTTTTCACATAGTCCCACATTTCTTGGAGACTTTGTTCATTCCTTTTTGCGCTTTTTTCTCTGATCTTGGTTTCTCGTTTTATTTCATTGAGTTGGTCTTCGACTTCAGATATTCTTTCTTCTGCTTGGTCAATTCAGCTATTGAAACTTGTGTTTGCTTCGCGAAGTTCTCGTGTTGTGTTTTTCAGCTCCTTTAATTCATTCATATTCCTCTCTAAGGTATCCATTCTTGTTATCATTTCCTCGAATCTTTTTTCAAATCTTTTTTCAAGGTTCTTAGTTTCTTTGCATTGATTTAATACATGATCTTTTAGCTCACAAAAGTTTCTCATTATCCATCTTCTGAAGTCTAATTCTGTCATTTCGTCACAGTCATTCTCCGTCCAGCTTTGTTCCCTTGCTGGTGAGGAGTTTTGGTCCTTTCTAGGAGGCGAGGTGTTCTGGTTTCGGGTGTTTTCCTCCTTTTTGCGCTGGTTTCTTCCCATCTTTGTGGATTTGTCCGCTGGTCGTCTGCGTAGTTGCTGACTTTTCGATTGGGTCTCTGAGTGGACACCCAGAGTGTTGATGATGAAGTATTTCTTTTGCTTGGTTTTCCTTCTACCAGTCTAGCCCCTTCGCTGTACGACTGCTGAGGTCCGCTCCAGACCCTGCTTGTCTGGGGTGCACCTCTAGCATCTGTGGCGCAGCGTGGGATGCTACCAGTTTCTTTTTCTGCTATCTTTGTCCCAGGATGATGCCTGCCTAATGTCAGTCTTTTGGATATAGAGGGGTCAGGGAGCTGCTTGAGGAGACAGTTTGTACTTTATAGGGGCTTAATTGCTGAGTTGTGCGCTCTGTTGTTCATTCAGGGCTGTTAGGCTGCTATGTTTGATTCTGCTGCAACAGAGCTCATTAAAAAACCCTTTTTTTTTTCTCAAATGCTCTGTGTTGAGGGGTTTGGGCTTTATTTTTGGATTTCCGATGAGGTGTCCTGCCCAGCTAGAAGGCAGACTAGCCACTGTTTGGCTGCCGAGGCTCTGCCCTGCTGTTGTGTGATTCGCCTTGTTCCTGCAGGCTCTGCTGTGGTCTCCGCCACACCCTGCGGCGGAGTCTCTTCGTTGTAGCGTGTTGCCTCGGCAACGGCTGGCTGCATCAGCAGTGGGCGTGTATCTCAGTTGGGGCAGGTTGCCTTGGCCACGGCTGGCTGCGTCAGCAGTGGGCATGTATCTCATTTGGTGCGGGTTGCCTCGGTAGTGGTGGACGCCCCTCCCCCACAGAGCGTCTCCGACCGTCTGCTCGGGATTGTTTGAAATCGTGGTTTTGTTCGTCCCACTGGGTATCCCAAACAATCTGTTCCTGCAATCCCCTAGGCTGGCCTACTGTCCAAGTCTCGTTCAGTCTCAAGTCCAGCCCTCTCAAGTCTCAGGTTGCCAGTTCAACAGGGCACCCGGACAAGCGTGCCCTGTGGGGATTGCTGGGTAGGGCCGGTTGCCGCCGCCCCAGCTGCCGGCTTCGCCAGGCAGACCTACTGCCTGGCGTCCCGTGTCTTTTTTATACTTGGTAGTTTCCCCGTTCTGTGGGCAACAAAGATCAGTCTGGAAATGCAGCTCTGACTCACCGTTTGCGGATTCAACGCGAGCTCCGATCCTGGGTTGTTCTCACAGCGCCATCTTAAGTCCTCCCCCCGGTGAACTTTTTTTAAGAAAAAACTAGTTATCTGGGTTTGTACAATAATTAAAATGATTCTCTTAATTAAGGACTCATGCTGAACTGCACTGCCTCTTCCCTCTGCTCAGCGCTCCCTTGCATCCACACCTGCTAGTTGTGAAGAGCTCATTCTATGGCATTGTTTTTTAAGTATTTGGGAAAGCACAGACAGAGCTTCTAAACTTCAAACATTTGAACAAATAAACTAAGAATTAAGTCAATGAGAAGCCTTTTATTGAGTACAAACCATGCAGTAAGAGAACTGAGGTCCACAGACGAATGTTAGCCTGGTTCCTTCTGCCATGGGGAGCACAGTACAGGCGCAGACCCACAGAGGGCTATGGAACCCAGGGCAGGTACTCCACAGAGGCATTGAGGGGCAGTGGTGCAGGAGGGAGGGCACACGTCACAGTGTTGGAGCAGAAGGTTGCTCTAGAAGTTTTCCTTTCTATGACTGCAGTCTTCAGAGCTTCAGAGAAACTCATGTCTGGGAAAACACACAAGCATTTCTGGAATCCCTCCATTCTCCAGAATGGTTTCCTGTGGTCTTGTGCCAGCATGGGAGGTCCGAGGCAGGAGTTCCTGTCTCTGGCTTTTATAAGTTCTTGCTGGTAGACACTTGGTTAGAGAATGGGTTTCTGCAGTGCTTACTTGCTTATAACCGGCTTTCCCTCCTATTAATCCTCATGTCAGCCCCATGTAGTCACTATATAGGTGTTCAAGTGACATTTCCTGCAGTTGATAGATGAGGAAAGTGAAGAAGTTTAGAGAGGACTGAGTGACATGACTGAGGTCACAGAGCCGGGAAGGACCAGACCTGTGATGTGGGCTGGTTCTTCTGACTCGAAGGCTGGGCCCCGTCCACTCTTCTGCATGGGTCAGGGATAAATGACTATTTTTATATTCACCCAGATGGGGGAAGGCTCACTTCTTTAAGTTTGCAGTGTTCAACATGAATGTATTGACTTAACTCTGCCTTCTTGATGAAAATGTTCTTTTCTCTCTCTTTTTTTGTTCTTTTAATCTAAACCAAAACAGGCATCAAAAAGAAATCTGTTCTATGGTTTCAACCCCAGAAAAATGTGCAAAGCCTCAATCGGATGTCAGTTCAACACAAACTTCATCCCTGAATATGTTGAAGGGACAATGGGGCCTTTCAGATCAAAAGGTTCAGAAAAAGAAAGTCCTCCATGCAGGTATCAGTGAACAAAACGGCTTGACTCTTTTGCTGGTTTCTCTTCAAGGCAAGAAGATAGAATCAACCTAAACCCACATAATACTTTTAAAAAGCACTAAACCTATGTGTTTTTAAAATTAATATTTTTATTAAAATAATTATACATTCACATGATCTAATGTCTACTTACCCTTCATCCTCTTTTCCCCAATGGCAACATCTTGCAAAATAATAGTACAACATTGACACCAAGATATTGATATTGATACAATCCACAGGTCTTATTCAAATTGTCCCAGTTTTACTTGTACCGAGAGAGAGAGAGAGAGAGAGAGAGTGAGTGTGTGTGTGTGTGTGTGTGTGTGTGTGTGTCTGACAGTCTGTGTTTAGGTCTCCACAGTTTTATCACGTGTAGGTTTGTGTTTCTACCACTAGAGTCAAGGTACAGAAGAGTCATCACCACGGGGATCCTTCATGCTGCCCTTTTATAACCACACCCACCTTCCCTGCACACTCTTCCTACAGCTAAAATCAAGCTAAATGGTGAAAGACTGAATTATTTCCCCCTAAAATTGGGGAAAAGGATGCCTACTCTCACCATCCTATTCAACATAGCATGGGAAGTCTAGCCACTGCAACAAGGCAAGAAGAAGAAATAAAGCCAGAAAGGGTAGAGAGGAAGAAATAAAACTGTCCTTATTTGCAGATATCATATTGTCTATGTAGAAAACAGCAAGGGATGTACCAAAATTAGCTACTGAGTTGAGCAAGGTGTCTTACTACAGGACACACAAGAACAATTGCATTTTGATATGCTAACAGTGAACATGCAGCAACCTATATTAAAGTCATCCATAATTGCTCCAAATAAAATGAAATAACATGTAACAAAGTATATGCAGAATCTGTATGCTGAAAGTTATATAATTCTGCTGTAAGACACTAAGGATGACCTAAATAAATTGAGACACCATGTTCATAGATTGAATGAATTGGTGTGATAGATGACAATTCTCACCTCATTTATCTATAGGTTTAATAAAATTCCTAATAGAATCCCCAAAATGTGTGTATAAACACATACAAGCATATTTTAAAATATGTACAGAAACTTCAGGTTCTAGAATAGCTAAAATAATTTTGAAAAAGAGAATGAAGTTGGAGAAATCACTGTACTGGATATTAAGGCTTACCGCATAACCATATCAATCAAAACAGTGTGGTATTAGCAGGGGAACTGGTGGAATAGAGCCTAGATTTAAACCACACAAATATACCTGAATGCTTTTGACAAAGGTGCGAAATTAACTCAATGGAGGTAGTATAGCCTTTTCAACAAAGATGCTGAAACAAGATCTACAGTCAAAAAAGGAAAAGAAACTTGACCTTAACTTCACATGGACCATGGATTTAAATGTAAAACAGAAAACTATAAAACTTCTAGAAAAAAATTAAATTTTTATCCAGTTGAGGAAGATCCACACATTTCTAGCTTTCTGAAAGTTTTTTTTTTTTTTATCATTAATGGATGCTGGATTTTATCAAATGCTTTTTCTATGTCAGTTGATGTAGGATTTTTCATCTTTAGTCTATCAAAATGGTGGATGACATCAATTGACATATCAATTGATATATACAAGGAAGCAGCCTTGTATATATCGGAATATTTCCCTCTTAGTCTCAGTGCATAATTCTTTTACTACATTGCTGGATTCCATTTGCTAGTATTTTGTTGTGGATTTTGGTTTCGAAGTTCACGAAAGCTATTGATCTATAGTTTTATTTATTTATTCTTTTTTAGTACTATCTTCATCCAGCTTTGGTATCAAGCTACTACTGTCCTCACAAATGGGTTGGAAAATTGTCCCTCCTTTTCTATTCCTGGAAGAAATTGATGTAATTCTTCTTTGAATGTTTAGTAAAGTTATCATGGAGCCATTTGGGCCTAGGGACTTCTTTTCCAGATTTTTTATTATAAATGCAATTTCTGTAATGGTTTTAGGGATATTGTCCATTTCATCTTGGTTGAGTTTTGGCAGTTTGTGGTTTTTGAGTAATTGGTCTATTTTTTCTAATTTATCAAATTTTTGAGGGCAGATTTGTTTACTGTATATCTTTGTTAGCTTTTTAATGGCTGCAAGATCTTTAGCAATGAACTCTATTTCATTTTCAATGTTAGTGCTTCGATCTCTCTTCTTTCTTTCTTACTTTTTCTATCTAGCTAGAGGTTTTCTTGCTTTTCTTTCTATCTGTTCATTTGTTTCCAGAGAATGTGTAATTGTTGAAGCGCTTCCTTTGGTGTTGGCATCATGCGTTTGCTTTTTCTGATTCAAGGTATGATTGTTTTTCTAGTTATTGATATGATGGGTGGTTTTTGGTAGTATCCTGGACATTTTGTCTATTATGTTAGGAACTCTGCATCTCATTTAAGTATTTTATTTTAGAAAGTAGTCACCCTGTTTAAATTTAGCATGTGGGCCTTGACCTACTTTGGTGGGCTGTGGTTCTGATGGCAATTTAATTTTCACGGGCTCAGTGATATTGTTAAATATTTTGGTGCTTAATTTTTCTGGTGTTTCTGGGGCTCCTACTGGTCCCTGCTGGTGCTGCCTCAGCTGGCAGCAGGGATCCCCTCAGACCAGGATGTTAGCTGTCTCTGAGGGGAGAGTTGCAGCAGCTTCCCCCAGTGTTGTCTCTAGAGTGTCCCCATGTTACTGGCAGGGAAAGAGGGCCTTGAACCCACAGGGCCCAAGAGGGTTCCTGGAATGGGCCACTAACTGGAGATTGGCCCCTCCTGCAGGCTCTGTCCACATGTTCCTGCTATCTCTGTACAAGGGAGCAGCGTGTTACATGGGAACAAACAGGCTTCCCACACTGGTCCCTTGTGTGGCTGCATCCCTTTTTCCAGTCCTGCCCGCCTGCTCCAGTGAATCTGAGTTTTGCCAGAGTTGCTACTTGTCTTAAACATTTTAATGGCCTATTGTCACTGCCACCATTTCACTTAGATTCAGGACGTTTGGTATTGGGAGACAATCAGATGCTGAGTTTCTGTTTTGTTTCCATTTGTGATGTTGAGGACTGATGAAATGCCATGATGATCCCACAGAGTCAGGGGAGGAGCTAAATGCTTGAATCCACTGCCGGATAAATGTTTCATTCCACATTTGCGGCCTTTGGGAATGGTATTTTTTATGTTTGAAGACATGGGGAGCTAAATTCATTTTCATTTGGCTCACATAAATCAGGTTGTTCTGCCTGGCAGTGTTGGTCAAGGTGGCCTGCCAGTGTGGACAGCAGCAGGAGCTCAGCTCTCTGATTTGGATTGTTACCTTTCTCTCACAGACATAGCTCCTAAGAAAATTTAGCTTTCTTAGCTCCTGGGTACAGAGACAACCAAGGCAGGGCTTACCCTTTCGTTGCCTATAAAAACAATGATTACATATAGCACACTCCTTCTCTATGCACGGAGACCACTGGTGTTACTTTTCTGTGAGAAAGATACCCATTTGCAGATTACTAGCTAATCTTCACTCTATCTAATATCTTGTAGGAGACGGTAAGTCTTCTCCCGGTGAGAACAAAGACACATTTCATTCACGAATGCTGACATAAAGCCTTGGTTCTAGGTACTTCTAAGGCCTCTAAATTATGAAGTACAGACTACACTTACAATTAGTGTGGTTTATGTTATCAAATATAAAAACTAGTCAAGATGACTCAGTGCCAGCTCATTGTCCTCTAAAGCCACAGATTCAAGGTCAATATTTGCTAAGTTGTCATTTGCCTGTAGAAGGAGCACATCAGAGGTTAGAAAATAACATGAAAATCCGATTGGCAATTGCGGTGGGCAGAATTTCTAGAATGGCTTACCAAAGATGTCCTACCCTAAACCCTGCAACCTTTGAATATGATGAGACGTCACTCTCATGACCAGGTTATGCTGACCTAGACGGGGTTATCTAGGTGGGTCCAGTGTAACCGTGGGAGCCGTGAAAAGCAGGAGCTATTTCCAGCTGGTGGAAGAAGAGAAAGTCAGAGAGATTTAAATCACAAGAGGAATTCAATGTGCTATTCCTGGCTCGAAGATAGAAGAGTTGTGTGAGAAGTAATATGGGTGCTTTAAGCAGCTGAGCGAGGCCCCTGGGTTACAGCCAGCAAGGAAATGGGGCCTCAGCCCTACAACTGCAAGGAGCTGGGTTCTGCCGACAGCCTGAATGAGCACGGAAGCTGACTTCTCTGCAAGAGAGGCCCAGCTTGAATTCAGATAAAGGGAGCAGGGCATCCCGGAGCATTCAGTTTGTGGCAGGTTGGGAACTAAGGTTGCATTCTTACTTTAAGGAGCTGATAAAATAGTTGTATGTAAAATATCTCCTTCCATCCCCAATTCCTTTAACTTCTCCCTGTGATACCAACAGAATCAACCAAAACCAGCCTGCTCAGAAGCCAGATGTCCTCCCTCAGGAGCTCAGCTTGCAGTGAAAGGAAGGATGGCCTCTCTAATGCCAGCAGCCGGAGGACTGCTCTAAATGACAAAGGCAAGCCAGAAAGAGTCTCTGGTCAGCCAGCCTCCCTTTCCCCAGTGTACCTGTTCCAGAAAGGGCTGGGTGTAGATATGTTGGGTAAATCATATTTTAAAATAAGCCCAGGTTGCTTCCTATTCAAAGGAATCCCTTCTAAGTCAGGTCTGCCTGCATTATGACCTGGGTTTTCTGAGAGCTGGCCTTGTGCTTATTGTGCCTGGGTATTTAATACACACGTGGCTCACATAACTATGGTCCTGCTGCTGGCCCTCCATGGTTTGATTTTGAAACTGTCATTTTTCATAGTTGGTTTATTTTCTTTCCTTTATTTAATGCATGTTGCTATCAGATGAGCCCCTCTCTGCTCCAAATTGTCAGCCTTTTGGGGACTGCATATGAGGAAAATGTGATTTTTTTCACTCAATTTTTATTACTATTGATAAAATTATTAATCTTAAAGTAATTTTTTTGAAAAGTTTAATGCCTGTAATATTATTCTTATGTTTCAAATAGTTGATAAATTAAAAATACCAGTTCAATACACACATACATACAATCCCCTAGGGAGTAGGAAGTGGCTGAGTGGCAAATATACACCGGTGGCTCCTCAGTCATAGTTTAATTGAACTCTGCTTTCTTCAGATCTGTGTAATGTCTTTTCCTCAGTTTTTTTTTTTTTTTTTTTTGAGACAGGGTCTCACTCTGTTACTCAGACTGGAGTGCAGTGGCAGGACCTTGGCTCACTGAAACCTCTGCCTCCCCAGTTCAAGTGATTCTCCTGTCTCAGCCTCCCAAGTATCTGGAATTACAGGTCCCAGATAATTTTTGTATTTTTAGTAGTAATGGGGTTTCACCATATTGGTCAGGTTCGTCTCAAATTCATGACCTTAGGTGATCCACCCACCTTGGCCTCCCAAAGTGCTGGGATTTGGGCCGGGCACAGTGGCTCATTTTCAGTTAACCTGCCACATTTCCTAAGTGGTCTACATGCACATGCCTTAAAGGGCTTTTCAAATGATGATTGGGATATGATTTCTTAGTTATTTAACTAGCTCACGTACAACAACACGCCTCCTTCTGAATGTGGCTCTTTCAACAGATATCCTTTTTCATTTATAAATACACATTTATATAAGGATATATTTAAAACCCCAAATATTAATTTGAAAATTTGAACGTACAACTAAACAGGACCTAACAGGTTGTTTGGTTTTCTACATAAGCTGAAGAACCACAAAACAATCTATCAGAAATGAAAATGTTGATCAAGGCTCTCTTGTGTAATTTGGAGGAATCTCAAAGGTTGATACTGAACAATCATCGGTTAACGGTGTTTTTATTGAACACCTTTTAGAGTTGTGTGTTTTCCAAATGAAAGAATGAATATGTCTCGTTGTCTCAAAACAATGTAGTGCTATATTTATCCATGCATTGGTCTGTAATTGCAAAGGAAACTTGCCTAAGAGCCTGCTCTGACACATCAAGATATGTTCTCTGAAATGTGGTCCATTTATGAACTCTCAGTCACAGCTGGACCCCGACAGGTGTGATCCCTTTGCATTTTATGTAAAACCCATATATAAGGAAAACATAGAACTGCCTTCCCCTTCCACAGACAGAAGCATCCTGCTGGCTGAGGAGTGTCTGGATGACCAGTCATCAGAAAGGGTGACCCAAGAAGGAAGCCAGGTTTATGACTACGAGTGAGTTATTTAATTTGACGAAGACAGTTCTGTTATGCTTTTATTGGTTAATCATTAAATTTAAAACACCACCTCATATTCTTAGTTCTTCAGATGTGTCTTCAGAAAACTGGCTCAAGACCTATGGCTTGGTTGCCAAGAAACTCACCCTCATGGATGCCTTGTCAGTGGCGGCGGTCCCCCACAGCTCCACCTATGTTCCCGTCCTGGACAAGCATGTCATGTCTAAGGTCTTTGATGAGGTAAACCGATTGTCTATATGTCCCTACTTGAGATCATTTTCATTTTCTGCTCCAATGAAAAGCAGTCCAATTTCTTATATGGTTGTAACAGAAATGCATTTTAGCCATTGGGGGAAAAATTATTTGCAAAGGCAGTAAAAGGGAGAGAGAGACTCTCTTAAGAATTTGGGTGTGGTGGTTAATGCCTTTAATCCCAACACTTTGGGAGGCTGAGGTGAGCAGATCCCTTGAATTCAGGAGTTCGAGACCAGCCTGGGCAACATTGCAAAACCCTGTTTCTACAAAAAGTACAAAAATTAGCCAGGCATGGTGGCACACACATGTAGTTGCAGCTACTTGGGGGACTGAGATGGGAGGATCTCTTGAGCCTGAGAGGTTGAGGCTGCAGTGAGCAATGATTGCCTGGGTGACAAAGCGAGATCTTGTCTCAAAAACAATGAAAATAAAAATTCTCTTTTTAAGCTGAGAGGAAACTGACCTTTGTTGGATTGGTACTTCATGGTTCATTAATAATGGATAGAAGTGTGGGGATGCAGAAATGTTTGAAAACTCTAGGTCAGAGTCGTGAGTGAACATCAAGTATCATTCCTTATGAAAGGAAAGGGAGGACTTGGAGAGATTATGTCCTTCCTTTCCTTACCTTCTCTTCCTAAATTGAGTGGCATCTTTTGCCTCAAAAAGCCTTCAAAGGAAAAAGTTAAGAGAGCAAGTGAGCAAGCCACATGCTAGCAAAAGAACCACCAGACTGTCCTAGGCAGGTCCCAAGAGGGCGTGGTAGGTTAAATGTGGAGGAAGGTCAAGGAAGTATTGAAAACTTAGCACTGAATTTGGCAACAAGGAAATGCTCATCTTTACAAGAATAATTTCAGTGGAACAGCTAATCTCAGGTCAGACTGCAGCAGGATGAAGAGCACCAAAAAAATGAGAACATGAAGACTGAACCTCAGTGGTTCCTGGCAAATACAACAGCAACTAACGATTTAAATAAAAACATTTCAGTCTTTGCAGTCACTGAATGGAAACAATATCCTTAAAAGACCTGTCTCCTGCTGAAATCTTTGCAGAGGAAATGATAAGATGCTTGGGGTTTGCTTTATAATAATTGGGGTGGTGGGAGTGGGGGGGGTGGGGCAGGGGAGGAAGTAGATAAAATAGATTGACCGTGTGTTGATCGCTGTTACATTTGGATTAAGACTTGTTGAGGAGGGTAGTTTTACTATTCTTTCTGCTTTTTTGTACATTTGAAATTTTCCATAAAAAGAAGTTGAAAAGATCAAAGGCAGGAGAAAGTTTTTTTAAAAAATAACTGGCCTTGAAATAGCTGAGATTTGATGTATTGGAAGAAGCAGACAAATTGGTGAATTTTTTTTTTATTAGCACATTTAAAAAATTATCACCCGTGGTGGCCCACCTGCCTCCTAGTTAGGCATGACTAGTGACTCTCCCTCCAGAGGCTGTGTGTGTGTTCTCCTCTAGGCTGGTTCCTGGCTGCTTTGTCTCAAGGTGAGTGGTCCTGTCCCTGGCTATTACCCTTGGGATTGGCAGATTTGATTTATACCTGATTAGTCAGATATCAACTCACAGATATCACTCAGATATCAAGTTCAGATATCACTTGAACTTGACTTCTTCTAGAAGCAACAGAGAGAAACTGAACAGTGATATATTTCTTCTAGGGGGTTTGGGGATAACTTCTTCATATTCTCTGCAGTTATATTCCTATTCTTGAGTTTTATTTAGGACAAAATATGTTTAGTGAACTATACTTGGAAATAGAATTTTCTTGGGCTTATTATGCCTCCTTCTAAATGTCCCAACAACCTGAGCTAGAGTGAAAAGTAAAGTTCTTGAAAAAAATATGGTAGGGTAGGGAAACAGAAGCATAAAATTCAAGGAAGAACCATAAAGGAAAGATTTATAGGCTGAGTAAGAAAAAATGTTATTTTGCCTAAAAACATATGTATAGAATAAAGGCAAATCTCAGAAAAATACCTGTAACACATATGACAGACAAAAAGGGTCATAAAGTAATATCTTACATTGTGTGTCAGTATAAATCACTGTGTGTGTATGAATTTGTGTTCAGTCTGCAAACACTCTGGCACACACATCCATATCATAAGGGAATGAGAAAATGATAAATACCCCACTGGAAAATTTAGGAAAAAAAGAAAAAAGTCAAAACCATATACGAAAATATTTAACTTTACTGGTAACCAAATATATGCACTTAAAAATACAAATTGAAAATCAGTTAGATACCACCTCCCCCATCAAATTGGTGAGGTTAAAAAGTACTGATAAGCAGTAATGGCAATAAGGGTGGAATGGACACTTACATTTTGCTAGTGAGAGTATAAATTGGTGCATTCTTAGTGTAAAATGTTCAGAAGACTTAAGGGCTTATATTTACCCCAGTAAATTAATGTATTACTAGGAATCTGTGTAAGGAAATAATTAGAGATACTGAAGAATATGTGCAGAGGATAATACTGCTGCCTTATAGCCAACAATAGAAAACACCACAAATTCATATAATGGAATGTCATACATTCGGCAAATATCTCATTTCTGAAGAATAAGTAATGACATGATTGAAAGCCCTCATGCTAAATGAAATATGCTAAATGAAATAAATCAGAGTATATAGTATGTTAGAAATTTGGTTGTACATGTGACTGATCCAGACATGGTACTTTTTCTTTCCCTCCCTTTTTTCTTTTACCAAAATGTTAACAGTTTAGCATGGTGAGATTGTTGGAGAGGTTTGGTGGGTTTTTTTGTGTTTTTTTTTTTTTTTTTTTTGAGACAGAGTCTCACTCCATCATCAAGCTCCAGGCTGGAGTGCAGTGGCACGAACTCGGCTCACTGCAACCTCCGCCTCGCAGGTTCAAGCGATTCTCCTGCCTCAGCCTCCAGAGTAACTGGGATTACAGGCACACGCCACCATGCCCAGTTAATTTTTTTGTATTTTTAGTAGAGACGGAGTTTCACCATGTTAGCCAGGATGGTCTTGATCTCTTGACCTCGTGATCCGCCCACCTTGGCCTCCCATGGTTGTTTTTTTAAATGTACTTTAAAATTTTTATTCTAATACTTGAATTCTGAACATATATTAATTATACACTGAGAAAAATATTAAGAAAAGCAGACCTGAAAGCAAATAATAAAATAATGTAAATGTAATGGGAACTTAATTTTTAATTGGCTACTTTATTTTTATCTGATAAGTAATATATGACTAATTCTGAGTATATGAAATTTAAACAATACTGAAGTCTTTAGAGGAGGCTTCTCTCACAACCACTCCAATCCATGAAGGAAACACATTGAATAGTTTTGGAATTTCCAATTCTTCTTCTACATACGCATGTCAGTATGTGCACAGATAACACATTTATACATAGACACATAAGAACTTTAATAAGCATGAATAAGATAATACCATATATATTTACTATTTTTGTACCTATTTTAAACATTTTGTCTTAGAGTTCTTTTCACACAGGTAGATGGTCTCATGCCTATAGTTGCAAGGTTCTTCCCCATTATGAATGGATATTTACATTGTGTCCTTCCTTCCCCTCTTACAAACATTCCTGTAACAGGTTTCTTTGCACATAGATTTTTGGGCACATGTATAAATCTGTCTTCAGAATAAATTCCCTCAAGTCAGATGACTGGACCCAAAGGGTATGTACATTTTAAATTTTGGTAATTCAAATCATCCTCCAGATTCATTGTACATTTTTACTAGTATATCTCCACAGACAGAGTAAAATAATACTCTCTTCCTAAGAGAAACTCTGTATAATACTTGGTAATCATTAGTCCAAGGTGTATAGAAATGTTTTGAAAACCCTGAAAGTAGTATGCAGACATAAGATCTTTATTCAGCCTGTTCTTTCCTCATTGGCTCATATGCTGAAGAAGCAAACTTAATATTCAGTTCAACATTTAAAAACTGTTTCTCTGAGAGGCATATGATATATCTATACTCTATGAATAATAATATGCCTACTCTGAGGTTGTTATGGGGTTAAAAGAAGTAATGCATACAGTGGAAAGTACTTAGTAGGCACTTAAAAGGTTGGCTTTCATTATAAACTTATTTAATACATTTAAAGGCCTATTGTATGCCTGTGTTGTGCTCTGCAATACAGTGCCAAAAAGGAAAGCCAACATTTCTCCCTAAGCACAACGGACAGTCTCAGGAAGAAATAAAAATGAAAATGAGTGAAGTTCTAGTTCAATGTGACGAGTGGGAAGTGCTGAGTGAAGATGCAGAAGAGAACCCTAACGTGGTTTTAGTTGCCACAGAAGGTTTGCCTTAGCTAGTGGCATCCGAGCTCAGACCTGAGGGGAAGAGAAGGAGGTATGAAGGTGGAGAGATGGGAAAGAGAGTCCCAGGCAGTGGAGGAGCTCTGGGGAAGCCTAAGGGACAGAGAACATTTGTCATTCCAGAGGAAGTTTAGTGTGAGAGGAGAAGGTGATAAAGCTGTTGAAGAAAGGGCCTTGATTGAGTTAAGGATGTTGGACTTCATCCTGAAGGGAATAGAGGGGTTTTTAGCAGAGGAGAGAGATTAATTTGGAGCTTTAGCTAACAGAGAACAGTTGAAGAGGCATGAGGCTGGGGAGATGGGGCCAGTCAGGAGGCAGAGTCTAGGTGGCTGGAACCAGTAGGCTGTGTGGCTGGAACACTGGGGATGGACCCAAAGCTCTTTATAAAGTCAAGTCAATGATGTGGGGCTGAGAGAGAGAAAAATGCCAAGAGTGATTCTCCAGACTCCAGCCTGGAATGTCAAGCAGAAGGAAAACAAAGGATGAGTGTCCTATTCTTTAGGAGCACATTCTAGTCTTCTGTCTCTAGAACACAAAGCTAAGGGGAGGGGATGAACAGTTCTCAAGTGCATCCCAAGGGCACTTGTGCTTGGTGCCTTTTGTGGCATTGTGAGTTCTCATGCCAACCTGCACATAGGCAGGCACTGCACAGCACACTT